TCTCACTTTCTTTTATCTACATTCCTTTCCCCTTTGAATCTCATAAATGAGTTGAGGTGCCAGTAGTATCATGGACCCATGCCATTCCGTGAAGAGAGCTGTGGTCTTCAGTAAGAATAGCTCCCATGTGCTGAGCCCCCTGTAAAGATGTTTCTTTGCATACCTCCTTCTCACAAATCCTCACAGCAATACAGCAAACTCAGTCCTATGACTTCCATCTTAAAAATAAGGAAACCGAAAATCAGAGAAGTTCAATCATTTGCCTAAGGTCATTTAGCTTGTAAATGGGGGAGCTGAGAACTGAATCTAAGCCTCGGGGTGTGACAACAGCTAAAACCACCTCAGAACAGCGTTCCATTGAATAGCATGTGGGCTGTGAGGGTTTGCTTTCATGAGCTAGCCCTGCATCAACATTATGCCTATTGGAATGCCACGCAGCCACAAAATAATATGCTTTCTTCTATCTTGTCAACTGCCCTCACAGGCTGTCAGAAATGCCCCTTCATCCTGGGCTTAAAATAACTCGGTGCCTTTGTCCTCTTGAGACAACTGCCAACCCTTCCGTCTCATCAGCAGCTTGTCTCACACCAGACATGCCAGACAATTTCCTTTGAGCACATGGAGACTAACCTGGTATGGAACAGTGGGAGCCTTGCAGGTTCTTTTTGTTCCCATGCCAGAGCTCCTTATGATGTTCTGTTTTGTGTATGCACATGCTGATATTGTATTGTTCTGTCTGGCTGACCTGTCTATCCTCAAAACCCAGGCTGGTGATCCCACTAGCAATGCTAAGTAGACATAATCCTTTTTCATCTCTGTGACTCTAGGGATATGAAAAGCAACTGAATACAGACTGATTTATAGTTTGCATTGTCCCTTGCACTGGCAATCTGGGGGGAATAATATATGTGATTTTAAACTTCATTCTGTAGGTAACCAAATGTGTGACCTTGGGCAAGTCTCTCCATTTTTCTGAAGGGGTGAAAGCGAGTCTCTGCAGAAATAAATCTGCGTTGTTGTTTTGTTTTGTTTTTTTTTACTAATAACTCTCCTTCCACCTTCCATAGAATATTATTTGTCCATTGCAGCTTTCAGGGCTTTCATGAATAGTTTTGTCACTAGGACTCCTTCAGTCTCTGGGAGAAGTTATAGTCATCGAATCAACAAGGGACCCTGGAGAACTTTAAATTCAATGTCCACGTTTTGCTAATGAAGAAACTAAATACCCAGGGGGTGCAGGGACTTACACTAGCCCATGCAAATCCTGGACCAGGATCCACGACACACTCCCAACAGAGTGGCCTTCGTACATACTATTTCCAGCCCCTAGGTCAGAAATGAACCTTGATATTCACAAACCAACTCTCCTACCTTTTTTCAGGGGGCTCTAATTTATTCATCATAATGAAGCCACTCAGCAAAAATGTGTAGTTAGTTTTTTTCCTCAGCAAATTCACACAAAATTGAAGACACTTTATCTGGCTAAGAATACAATTGATCAGAAAACATACGAAATGTCAGGCATTCTAAGTAAAGTGACTTGTTCAAAGTCAGCAGACAAATGAAGGACAAAGCCAGAACTGGAAGCAGAAAGCTTCAGAAAGACACTAGAAGATAATGAATGGTTACAGGCTGTCCATACAGTTTTTCTGGCTTCCCAAAGTCCAGATGGAGTCCCCACACTGTCAAATTGATTGATTGAAGCATCATTACTAAGATGTTCTCAAATCCCCAGCACATGGATATGGCTGCACGTTTGTTTCTAGGAGACTCTCGGTCAGAACATAACCTTCCCTGTTACGAGCACTAGTAGAGTTGCCACCAGCTAAAGAGGAAAACAAGACCCTGATGAGCAAGTTTCATGACCACTGGGATGTAAGTAAAGAAAATGGAGGCAGACAGAAGAGAGAGCTTGGATTTCTTTTTCATGGGGTTTTTGGCTGTCTCTTAAACAAATCTGACCCTAGGTATAAGCTTGCCCTTTTCTGGTCCCAACTTCCCTGGTTATAAAATACATGTTTGGCAACCACTCTGAAAGTTATTAAAGTTGCAGCAGTAAACTATGGGAGGCCAGAGAATTTCAGACAAAAGTTATTGCATCAGTAACTCAGAAACTAATTCCTAAAACTCTTGACACATTTATCCAGAGGGCTAGTGCCAATACAGAAATGGAAATCATTGTCAAGGGCCACCGTGTCCCTGGAATTAAAATCCATCATTTCTCGGAGCAGAGAGCTAAGATTTTGGCAGAATATGAATAGTCATGCCTTTCACCATCATCTTTCCTCAAAAATAAGGTCCTTCATTTTTCAGAAGAACAAGAAAAATGCTAATTTCTCTGTTTGTTTTTTCCATAAGAAATCCTCGTTTACATTTTCTTTTCAAATACTTTCTTTAACAGTCCCACATTTAAACCAAAAGGCCTCCTTCTCCTAATTTAATTGCACTGGTTATATTTTGGATAGAGAATCTGCTGGGTACAGTAACAGAGAACAAGCTTTACAACAGCAATAATCCCTTCTACAGCATCTATTGTGGGGAAACTTAATACACTTTTATTAAATGGCCGAGGCATTGGCTCCAGTGGTCTGAATTAACTACAGAAGAGTGTAGAAAGGGAACAAAACTACCCTCTTCACTCTGCAGACTCCCAGTGCACAATCAGCCTAAAACTGCCATTCAGGAGCACCCCACTGAAAAACCATTGATTGCCTTAGGCAGCACCTTTGTCACCGAAGGTTAGCAAAAACAGTAAGGCTTGGCGGGTTCCAGGGTTGTGGCCAAATGGAGAAGTAGGCCCTCTGATTCGCTGTTGGAGGATTGACAATGTGCCTCAGAGTCTTAAATGTCCATGCGCTTTGGCTCAGGCTCTAAGAATTGGTCCAAAAGCAGTATCTACATATAAGTACACAGGGTAAGCATCAGCATGATCATAAAGAGGAAAAATCAGGAGCAATGCACAAATCATTAAAAATGCAATCAGTGACTGATCCTGTAATCTATGTTTATTGTGTCATAACAATAAAGCATACTGAGACATGCCATTGAGTGGCAAAGTGCAGTCACCAAGAGCATATGTAGTATGGTCTCATTTATGTAAAATTATAGCTGAAAGGCTGCTCTCTGAGGTGCTGACAGTGGTTACCCCTGAATAATGAAATTCTAAGTGACTTTCACTTTTCTTTATCAACTTTTTCCTGAATTGCTGGACTTTTAACATTTTTTAATAATAAGCATCACTTTATACTTATGGAGGAGGATGCTTTAAATTTTTTGAAAAACAGAAAGCTAGTCTTTCCCTACCTTCCTTAGCCCTTGCACTGCCACACCCAAGTCCATCCTAGTGGTAAGACAACATGAAACACTCTGATGAGTTCACGCATGTTCAGTACCCCTGCATCATCTACAGGGTGTGTGTTCCAAGTGGATGCCTGAAATCGTGGATAGTACTGAACTTCATACATACTGTGCTTTTTCTCTACATACATACAGGATGAAGTTTAACTTATAAATCAGGCATAGTAAGAGATTAACAACAACCACATAAAAAACCATTTTAACAATATATTGTAGTAAAAGTTACGTGAATGGCTTCGGGGCCATTATTAAGGAAAATAAAAGTCACTTGCACACAGAGCTGCAATACCGTGGCAGTGGGTCTGATCACCTGGACAGCCGCTAAGTGACTAACTAGAGAGTAGTGTATACAGCGTGGCTGCGCTTCCCAAAGGGAGATTCACATCCCAGACAAACAGAGCAGCACAGTGTGAGATTTCATCAAGCTACTCAGAGCAGCACATAGCTTAAAACTTATGAGTAGGTTATTTCTGGAATTTTCTATTTAATATGGGTAACTAAAACTGCAGAAAGCAAAACTACGGATAAGGGGGAGTCCCTTTCACTCTACTGCCAGGGTTTCTCAAGTGTATATGCTCAAGTATATATACTCTTTTCGTATAAGACTGGCCACTTGCTGGCAAGTGGCAAGTGATACACATATCAAACCTCATCATTTTATACACTTTAAGTCATCAAACTGTGCACTTTTAGTTCATGTAATCTGTTGTACATCAACTACACCTCAATGAAATTCTTTTTTTCAAATAAAATAAAACATAAAATCATCCATGTAATTTCCATTCTCCATACAAAATTCTCAAAATATCTACATATTTCTTTAAAAACTTGAATCAGTGTTGGAAAGCAAATTTGATGTTCCAATCAGTAACAGGAGGCTATTCCAAGAGGTTAATAGACTGAGTGAGGTGTAAAAATGTTCATTTAGCTTATTTTCTGTCATCCCGCAGTGTCATTGTCCTTGATTATAGATGGAGACAAAGCTCACCATTTGACCGGCTTTTGTCTTTTTCCATGTGCACCTTTTCGCAGAGTCCACGTCAATCTTAGGTACCTTTTACCCCAAGATACATGCTTCGGTGCACTTTAATTTTCCTGCAGTAAATAAATAGCCCTTGCAAGCTTCCTTAAAGTAACTATATAACAAACCTGAGGATTCTGAGACTTTGGGATCAGATAAAATTCTGAAATCCAAGCTATCTTCCCAGGCATAATTATAGATAGACAGGTAAGTCTGTTAAAGACTATTCCTTCACTCTAATGCCAAGTTTTCTCAAGTGTATACGCTCAAGTATATATACTCTTTTCCTATAAGACTGGCTACTGAAACAGCCTACAGGTCTGAATTGCCTAAAGAGAATATGACCAAAAAAAACAAAAACAAAAAACAAACAACCCACCAATGACCACTGTGGGTTTGAAAATGGGGTCTCTGAGTTAGCTGGACAGGAAGGAAGCAAATGTTTGTGTGCTGCTTCGGGGCCTCCCTCCTCTAAGCCACTTAGGGTTCCATCTCTTGCTGGCAAGTGCCATTGAAGAGTGTGGGCCCTAAAGTCCCAGCAGGAACAGGACCTCGCTGAAGGCTAGGCCTGCTTCTCATCACTGTTTTCTGTGGTTTCCCTTCTGCTTTCCAACGCGACCAGCTGGACAGTGCTGCAGGGAAGAATTGGGCGCCCAGAGAACCCGTTCCGAGTGGCCCTGGAGTACATCTCAAGTGGAAACCGAAGCCTGTCTGCAGTGGACTTCTTTGCCCTGAAGAACTGCAGTGAAGGTATGTGAGCCTGGCTTTCTCCTTCCTCCTTGACAGCTTGTGGCCGGACATGTGTCGGTAACCTGCCGCCATTATTAGCGGGGCACGTGCACACGTACACAGGAAAGTCTACAGTGCTGAGGGGCTTATTCTGAGTATCATCAAGGGCTTCACAGCCCAGATGACCAGTTTTTAAAGATTGAGTATAACATTACATCTGCTTAACTTAAAACTTGGAATATAGTCTTTATTAGATAACATACTAGCTTAAACTCTCTGGCTGCCAAATGATTTGACCATTTTTCTTAAATTTTTACTGTGGAAAATTTCAAATGTATACAAATAAACAGAGTAATGCAATGAACCCTAATATACCCTCAACCCAGTTTCAGTAATTGTCAACATTCTGCCATTTTTGTTTCACCTATATCTCTACCCACAGAAAACTAAGTATTTTGAATGATATAGTGAGGTCAAAAGGTACTTAAGTATGTGATTCCAAGTGCAAAATAGGGGACAGAAATCAGGTATTGGCAGTTTTTCCATTTTCATTTGTGTGTGAATTTTTAAAAATATAAATGTGGGGACATAAAGCATTGATGCAAGTCAAAATGTGTCAGTGAACAAGTTTCCGCAGCTCAGCTCTATCACAATATAAATAAACCTGTTAAATTTTTCTGGACAAAAAGTAATAGAGAGAAATATGTCAAAAAAATAGAGAGAAATATATCAAATTTTTCACTTACTTAGTAAAAAGCGTTAGAGCACGGTCCACTGTGTGATTGAATTCCTTTTGCATAAGTCCCACATTGTGAGTTTGTTTTGAGAAGGCATCTGTCTCCTGAAGCATAATTTATTGTTTTTTTTCTTTTTGCCTTTGTTGCCAGAGAACTCTGAACTAAATCAGAGTAATTAGATCTGTGTAGTTTTTTGATAAGTGTATTTCCCCATTCCTCTATACAAGTTTTGATCTTCTATTCCTATTTTTCATGGTCCTACTTTATGTGATTCTTTTTACCAGATATTACCTCAATTCTGATTGGTAAATAGGATGAACTAGATCATGAGTAAATACAGGGTGGGGAAAAGGTAGGTTTACAGTTGTTTGTATGGAAAATAATACAATAACTAAACAATAATAATCAAGAATAAACTATGTTTCACACACTCACAATTGAAAACCTACTTTTGCCCATCCTGGTATGAGGTTGGTCTTCCCTTAACTCTACGGAAGGCCTAGGGTCATGATCATAAACATCCTTCACTATTCCCCACTTGCAAAGGGTATAGGAGGCAGGTATAGGGGAACCTTCAGGAAGAAGTTAATTTCATTACTGCTCTTCTCCTGCTGCACCTGCTCTGCCCAGAGATTCACTAGGGAGGGAGCTCGTACCTGTACCAAGGAATCTGTGGTCTCAGAGGCCTTGGAATGAACTGTGGACAGGAAAGAAGCCCATGGCACCTGCAGAGCTAAATTCTCAATTTGGGCTATTTAGGAACAACCACAGAGGCTTAGAGCACACAGCCATCTGCTGCATGTAGAGGCCCGGTTTTAAATCTTGTGCCTCCTGGAGCTTGGGTATGAAAGACACTCCCTTCCGTAGGGAGCTGCCCTGACCACCCAGCTCCCTATGCCACTGTGTCCCTTCATCCATTGCTTGTTCTGCAAGAACTTTTACAAAGATTGCGCATGCATGTGTGTGTGTGTGTCCCTTTAATCAAAACTGGTTTCTGTGTGAAGGAAAGAAAAATCACCATAATGTGATAGATTGAACTTCAGTTCAAGTTGAAGAGGTGGTTAACCTGTGACGTGAGGCAATGTACAAGAAACATGTGGTTTGGGAGTAAGCCAGGGGCTTGTACAAATGTTTCCGCACTCACAAACTTAGGGATTTGTGAGTGCCTCTGGACACCATCAATCCTTGCAGACGTCAAGGGCCTGTGTACCGTCCAAAAGAGGCCATGTGTTGAAATGGAGCCAGTTAACAAGACTGTGACAGGGAGAGGGTATCAGTTCCCAGAATTGGCCTAATCTCATTTAAGCAACATCAGGAGAAGGAATTAAGAGCCTACAAATCCCCAAATATCAGGCTTATCACAATTCCTGTGAAAATTATTTGTACCTTTGATCAAGGATCTCAACCAGTTGTGCAAATTTTAACTTCCTTAGCCCTACAACTCCCTTTTCCTACAAAAATCTTATTCTGTAGCTTTTGTTACATCTGCAGGGAGTCTGTTGTAGAGTTTAAAAGACCTGTTTATTGTCTGCTCTCCACTTGTATGAAACCAAGAGAGCTGACCTTTCTTTCTCTAATGATCCAGAAAGTGTTTCTTCTGGCAGGATGCTTTCTTAGCAGAGGGAGGAAAGATGTCTGCCGCTGCTTCCCTGGGGAAGGTGGATTTGCCAAGAGACCTAGGAAGATTCTAATGGTCTAGCTACCTTCCTTCAGAGGCTCCAGGTCCAGAGCAGCTGGGGTCCATGGGGAAGCAGCAGGTGTTCTCTGCACTCCTTCTCTGGCTTGGACTCTTGCAGTCATCGGGGTGTGAAGGGATCAGTGTGGATGTGTAAGGCAGAGAGCAGAGAAGAACAAAGTGATCTCAGTGTTTCCTGAGCATTTCTAACTCTCCTTCCCATAGCGAAACAAATTGAGACACACATCAGTTGATGTGAACAAAAAAAAAAAAGCAGCAGCAGCATCCTAAAACTATACTCATGTATTTAAAGAGGAGTTATTTGGGAAGCATACTCAAGGCCTATTTGAGGTAGGCACATGTCTGTATGTCCTAAGGTCATTGCTTTGTTTAGGTCATGAAAGGGAGGACAGAGGTTGTATGTATGGGAGGGGTGAGCACGGCTGGTGAAATGCTAACCAGGGATGCAGATAGGTCTACAGGATGTCTGGTCTATTTTCTGATAGTAATTTGGTCCGCTCATATGAGGCACCGGTGGTGTGTGGAGGGAAATGCATCTATGGAACTCCAAAGCTCTTCCTTGGCTCACATGGAGAGAGGCGCCATTCTAGTTAATCCAGAGAAGCCCATGCAGGGGATGCTGAAACAATCCCCCCTGCACAGGAGATGCTATCGGCCTGTGGGTACCACAGAGCCGAGGCCATGCCTCTTTCCTCTCTGAATCCTGACACCTATCACAGTGTTGAACGGTTAGTAGGTGCCCGGTTAATAAGCAATAAAAGCTAACCTCAGCGGAGTACTTACCATGTGCAAAGGCGAAGAGTGGTGTGTTATCTCATATGAGCTTTGCAGGAATGCTCTGCACTCAGCAGGGCGGCTGCCATAATCCTCACATTGCCTGTGAGGGGCTATTTCACTAACTTTTATAGCTCAGAAAGGAGGAGGAATCCAAGGAGTAAAATACAGTCCCTGTACCATGAACATCTTGAAACACATCTCAAAAGAGTTAGACATGTGCGGATGTCTTAACCTTTCTGGGCCTAAAATGAAGGCATTTAAACTAGAGCCAGGTCTTCAAATATTTTATAGAGGCTTAACTGTTATCCAAAGTCTTATATGGAAGTCCATTATATATAATTACACAAGCAGAGCTGCCCCAGGGGAGGTGGGGGCAGGGAGCTCAGAACTCACCTAGTCAACAGCCCCGATACCCACTTACACACACAGCATTTTATGAAGTACAGTTGGAGAAACCCTGGACAGTCTAATTTTTAGCTTTCCCATTAACTCCAGCTTTTTGATCTCACAATTCTGTACTTAAAATGTAAAAGCCAAAAATAGTTATATTAGCCATACCTCCTATACATGATTAAGACTAAGCACAAGGCTATTATATGTTGAATGTAGGCCATTTTTACAAGGCAGGTTTTTGTTCCAGTGGATCCTGGCTTTGAGATGCTAGATACGGAGCTAATATGAATGTTCCCAGTGAAAAATGTGTAGCATCTTCCAGTCCCGTCTCCTCTCTCATCTGCTTGACCAAAGACAATAACAGGCAGTGGAGGATGTCTTCCTTGCACCAGAAGAGAATGAGAAGAATGAATGGAGCTAAACAAACAGATTCTAATGTTGACCAGCCATGTGGACACAATCAGCCTCTAGAGTAGGCTCCAAGATACAGCTGGGTAAAGTCGGGAGTAACCTCATAGGCTCCTGGCAGCCTGGCCCAAGCTGGGCATTTTCTGTTCCAACAGCAAGCAAGGCACCACAGAATCCTCAGTCTATACCTGTAGAAGTCCGCTACTGTGGTCGTCGTCTGTCTCGAGACTGCCAGCAGAAAAGTCTATATGTAGCAGATCCATCCATCCATCCATCCATCCATCCATCCATCCATCCAAGCATTCACTCATTAATTCAATAGACATTTACTGAGCAAATACTAAGCTGATAGCATCCTGGCCCTGATATAAATGTGTTGCTTTGAGTGTGTGTGGCAGCTTTAAGATCTCCATTCTACTTTGCGCAGAAACTGCTCGCCAAAGGGCATCCCTGACTGACATGTAATTTGCACCAGAGTCCTTGAATAGTTGCTCCATTTGTAGAGATGTCTTCCTCCAAACTAGTGCCCATGTGCCTTTCTCAAAAAGACCACAGAGTGAGCATGGAACTAGCAATCAGGGGCTTTCAGTCCCCTTTCCACCTCTTATTTGCCATAGATAGCCAACTCTGGATCAGAAGGGACATTACAGGTCTCCCTCAGAATGGCACATTGACTGTTTTTAAATTTAAAATAGAAATAATTATGTCAGTGACTTCCCAAAATGGACCTTAATCATGAGGGTCAATGAGAAGATGGCTATGGGGGTGCGTTGTAGATTATGCCTGAGCTGCCTGGCCTCTCTGGGCCCCACCTGGCCTCTCTGGGCCTCACCTGGCCTGAAGCCTTAAAAACACAGCTGCTCCCCCAATGCAGCTCAATTTCTCATGGAGAAAACACTAGTCACAAAAATAAATTGGCTCTTGACTCCTCCTGCAAAGCTGTGCGATATTAAAGCCCAGGGGGTGATTAGAGAGCCACTGCATTGCCAGGCTGAGACCGGCACCCAGGC